CTTCCTTCCTTCCTTCCTTCCTTCCTTCCTTCCTTCCTTCCTTCCTTTCTTTCTTTCTTTCTTTCTTTCTTTCTTTCTTTCTTTCTTTCTTTCTTTCTTTCTTTCTTTCTTTCTTTCTCTCCCTTCCTCTTTCTTTCTTTCTTGTTCTTTCTTTCTTCTCTCTCTCTCCCCCCCCCACTCTCTCTCACACACACACACCTGGTCTGGGACAAACTGTAATCCAGTGAGTTCCAGTCAGCAGTGGGCGGTGGGACAAGGAAGGAAGGGGGGAGGAGGGGTGGTGTGCGGCTGCAGTGGGGCCTTGAGCACCCCTGCCCCGGCCCTCCCAAAGCACTTCTGCATTTGGCGGCAGTGTGGCGACAGCTGCAGCAGGGCCTTGAGCACTCCCTACCCCATCCCAGCCCTCCCAAAGCACCTCCGCATTTGGAAGTGGCGGTAATGGCTGCAGCGGGGCCTGGAGCACCCCCCGCCCCAGCCCTCTCAAAGCACCTCTGCAGGCGGCAGAGGCGGCAGACCTGGATGCCTCCCATTTTGCTCCCGGGAGAAGTAGGCAGAGGTGGTGGAGACTCTGCTGTGACATCAGCTGCCCTACCGGGCAGAGCAGCACCACCGCAGCTCGCTGTGCCACAGCCGCCACGTGGTAGGGAGAGATGGGAGAGCGCCGCATGGTGGCTTAGCCAGCCAACTGAGCCTGGGGATGGGGGGGCAGGTAGGTAGGCCCCAGCCAGCGTCGCCAGTGGTATGGGGCCATGCCAGTGGGGAAGCCAGTCAGCTGAGCCCAGGGATTGGGGGGCAGGTAGGTAGGCCCTGCCAGCACTGCTGGTGGGATGAGGGTGCACCAGTGAGGAAGCCAGCCAGCTGAGTCCAGGGATGGTTGGGGGGCAGCAAGGTCTGGGGACAGTCGGGGAGGGGATAGTGCAACTTGCAGGCTTACCTGTGAGCAGGCAGATCAGGACTGCTCAGTTGCGGTTAGGGTTAGCCTAACCCAGCTGGAAGGAACAGTGGAGAGCCTTGTGGTGGGGGGAGGAGGGAAAGGCGACTGGGACTTGCAGAGCCTCACTCAGCCAGGGAGATCTTCAGAACAGGCAGGGCTGCAGCAAAAGGCAGATAGCAGTGGCTGGCCTGGTGGGTGGGCAAAAGCAGGCTGCAGGCATGTCATGCATGTGCACAATGTTGCACATGTTCGATAGGGACTGACTGGGCAGGGAGTGGAGAAGCAGGCAGAGAGGGGTGGGGCCAGCCAGAGGCCCGATTTACCAGTTTTCCAAACTACCGGGGACCATAACAACCAGTTCTACCAAACCGGTGCGAACCGGTAGAATTCCACCTGATTCAGGGCATTCTGACAGATAAGGATCTTTTCACATCACCAATGCTTTTTAAAAACAACAATGAAAAATACATGTAGTCTTCTCCTACACTCACTCTCAGACAATTATCCTGAAAAGTCAGGCTGAGTTATCAGCAGTTCCTTTCTCTGATGAGCACAAAAAATGGCTGCCAGCCAAGATTTCCCCCTTCCCACTCCTTGTTCTGCTGCACCTTTTATTCATAATAGGAGGGAATATAAGAAAACTGGTTGCTAAACTTCCCTGAAGCCCTGTGTGAGAACATTGAAGTGTCACGGAGAAGTAGCTGGCCTATTGCTGTTGGGGAAGGGGAGGCCTGGGGTGAGCCATTGGTGAGAGATTCCAATGAGAAAGCTGCACTTCCCAACACCTCAAAATTCAACCATTTCAAATCCAAAAAACAAAGGTTGGAAATCTGGGGCAGCCAGACCAGAAGAAAACGAGCTGTTCCACCCAGGGAATGCCAACCTAGGAAACAAATGGAGCAGACTTCCATGGAGAAAGGCCTCAATAATGAGGGGAAACAGCTGTGCTGCTCCTGCCATTGCAGGAAGGATGGGGACATGAAATGAATATGATTTCAGCAAATCTATAATGATATGAGCAACAAAGGTTTTTGCAATAATGATAACAAGCCAAATAAACTTAGCAATTGTTTCTTGTGTATTGACACTTCCTAATAGCATTATTCCAATTTCACACTTGGAAGCAGACATACTATCATTTGTATTATGTTACATTTGCATAAGGGGCAGATTACAACAACCTTCTGTAACAACTTTCCGAGAGAAAATAAACTGGAAGTTGGGATTGCACAGCCACCTGGACACATGAGTGGTGTTTGGAAAGCTGATATATATGCTAGTTTCCAGTCCAGAGGAAATTGTATCTAAGCTTCTATTAGCATCATATATTTTAGCATGCTAATATATTTTTGAATGAGTGCCATTGCATTGGCTAGCTAGATATATAAGATCATTTTGCCATGAGATATAAGGTCAAATATGGGAAAGCTTTTAATTAAACTACACAAAGTGTTCAACATTAATCTTTGGTGACTAGATTTTCCACAGATGTGGGAGAAGGGGCAGAGTGTGCTGGAAGGAAGAGAAAGGAAAATCCAAGGTAGAAAAAGAAGAAAGGAGCATAGCATATGAACAAATCTAGCAAAGAAAAAAAAAGGGGTGCATGATTGTTGTGTTTAATCCAGAATATGGGTAGAAGCTTTTCCTACAATGTAGAATCAGTAAGGAGCCAGGGTTTTGTTGGGTTGCTCAATGTGGCATATAATTGCTGTATCATTCATCTCTCAAAGCAGATTTGCTGCTCCTTAAGGAAGGCAATAGACTGTATAGTTATCACCTGAAATGGGATTTAATCCCTCCCACAAACTATACAACCTACTACCTCACCTCCACAAAGCAACACAAAGACCTCACACATTTGCATATTTATAGAACTGCATGCCTGACACCCAAGGGCCTCAAAATGATCATTGTTCATGATGATAACTTGCATGTAGAAATGGGTAATCCCATGGAAGAAGTTGAATTGACTGTCTCCTTAGGAAAGACAGTAGATTGTATAGTTAGCTCAAAGGGAGAAGATGGCTCCACAACTATTCAATCTACTACCTCAGCCTCAAGGACAGCATTGTTTTGATGTTTAGGACTGGCAAACTTCCATGATGGCTATGAAGAACATTGATGGTCTTGAGGTTCAGATAAAGATGGCTGATCAAATCCAATCTACAAAAGCATAAAATGAGGAAATATCAGCAAATGCAAAGTGGACTCTTGAAGTTGTATTGAAGCAAGCATTGGTTTTTTTCCAGACATCCACAATAAATCAGTTTGATAAAGCTTGATAAAAGAGACCCGCTATGATTTTTCTTCCAGTTCCACAATTTTCATTTTCATTGTGTAATTGCTCTCTTTCTCCCCTGAAAGTATATGGGAGGGCAGGAATGGATAATTTCATCCTCAGCCCGCATCTAGGCTGCTGGGAAGATGAACTTTTCTTGATTTGCATGAAAAATAGTTATCTTGCCCTTTTCTGGTGGAAGCAGGTAGTCAGGTAACCTGGTCCACCTGCTATACTTCATTCCATTTTACACAAATGGCTAGTAGACGGTGTACTCCTCAATCTTCATTCTCCGACAGTCATTTTATACTGTACTGTTAGACTCCATGATATTAGACTTTGTTTTGTTTTTGGTTTTCAGATTAAGCAGCAGAACAATGAAATGTAGTCTCTCTTTCATGGAGCAGTAAAATACTGACATGCATTACTTCCTTCCTTCCTTTCTTCCATTTCTAATCTATGTGACAGGAAAAACTACAAAACTTATTTTTTTTTCTATCAGAACTCAAAACCAAAGGCCATAAAAAGAAAAGCAATTGATGCTTGCTTTGCTAATGTGGGTAGGAGGAGTAAAAAAAAAGCAGGGGAATCCACCAATTGCAAACCTTGGTAATTCTGACCAGGTTGGACATCTGGCTGTCACTGTTGTGGAGGAAGGAGATGAAACTTAGATAAAAATTTCTTAAGTTGGCTTCCTTCCCACTCAGTTCACACATGGAAGACAAGTAGCTGAAGGCTACATTGCAAAAAAGTCCCTAGTCAGCATAATCTTCTCTCTAGAATTCCTTATTTGTCCCCCTCCTTCCTCCCCCTTAGTTAAGAATCTCTTAACTAATATCTTAACTTAAGGGAGGAAAAAATGAATAATTTTACAATATATTATATTTAATACTTCAGATCTGTCCATTTTTAAAAGTTGAATTATAAATTTTGTTTGAATAACAGAGATTTTAGATGATGACAAAGTCCATTATCTAATCTGCAATAGTACCTGTAGTAACCCAATTGCCATTACATGGGACACAGAAATAAAATTAATAGTAAACGAAAAATAGTGTACAGACTAGAGAGCATTCTCTGGTCTAGATCCAAACATGAGCTGTTGGGAGAAAACAGGAGAAGATGGGAGAATGGGAAAAAACAGACTTTATTGCTCTTTTATTTCAGAATAGTTCTTTTTTAGCGCATGGAGTCTCACACTTTAAGAACAATCATTGAAGGGGCTATTGGATGAAAGAATAGAACTGGAGGGAAAGCAACTTTCTTGACTTACCTTCTGCCATCATTTCTGCACCCTGGAGAATCCATTCTCTCTCTTTTTCTGTATGTTGGGCAAATAGTTAAGAGAAACACATAAATTAGTTAATAATTTAATATGCAAAAATGGTTCATACACACAAGTGAGTTTATATTTTAAGAACAGTCTTTGAATGGGCTATTGGAGCAAGGAGCAGAACTGGAGCAAAAACAATTTTCTCTTTCTAAAATAATGAGCCCTTTAGAAACATGGGGGAGGGGGGGAATGAAAAAAAATATTTATATGATTTTTTTAAAGGTTCCTACAATGTGATAACCAGGATGGAACAAATTTAAAACTGTGACTTGTAAGAAAGTGAGGAATTAAAAATGGTATTTGTCCACTCTTATTCTCATGTTTGCTTATTTTTTAATGAACATAGTTTCATACAAATGCATTCCTATGACAGCTCAAAATGTAAAAACAAAACAGTAAAACAATCCTAATCAGAAAGTGAGAAATAGAGAAATAGAGAATGATTTCTGAAGAACACACCTAAAAAAATTATTGTAAAAATACTCTTAGCCCTAGCATTACACTTATATATCACTTCATAGTGCTTTAACAGTCTTCTCTAAATGGTTTACGGAGCCAGCATACTGCCCCCAACAATCTGGGTCCTTATTTTACTGATCTCAGAAGGATGGAAGGCAGAGTCAATCTTTAGCCCCATCAGGATCGAACTCCGGGCTGTGGGCAGAGTTTGCCTGCATTACTTTACATTAAGCACTGCACCACCAGAGTTGAAGTTAGGTTCTACCACCATATAGAATGACATCTTGGCATCTGGCTAACTTTTCTTTGTGATACTGTTTCTTTTCTGCCTACACACCCCGGTCTAAAAACAACATCGCCCTTAAGTGGTCTCCTGCAGTTAAGTGGTTAAATTATGTATGGTATATTCTATAATATCAACTTGCCTCCACATTCCTTTATAAAAGTATCGTTATTACAGTTTAATCAAGCTTGTGTTCCTAGGTTTAGTGATAAACCGTTGAAAAGTAGCAACTTCCTGATAGTTTTCAGCAGGAAGCTGAAAGAAAAAAAACCCCAAAGAAAACCAAACTTTATCAATTCAGTGCTTTCAATTGGGGCTCTTATTTTATCAAATTAAAATAATAAAAGCATCCTGAAAAATTTGAAGCTGTATATCATCTTTTTACAATATTTTTTAAAGATGTAAGTAACAATAATGTTTTTTAAAAGATGTAACACAATTAACTTCCATATAGGTTTTTAAAAATTATACATAACTTTTTTCTATATTTCTAGACAATTTTATCTAATCAATAATTTTTAAATATAATTTTCCACAAAAAAGATTTGATTTTACAGCAACCAAAATTTCTAATGCAACATAAATCTTTCAGGCAATCATGTCAGATAGTGGTATTTTAGTTTAGTTTGACAGTGGATTTATTTTCCATCTTTAGATTTCATCAACAGTATCTACGAGGGAAATATTAATGCTATTATTCAGCTGCAAATGCTTGGCATGAGCCAAGCTTATAACTTATATAAATGTATTAAATTATATATACATTTTATTATGTATATTTTAAAATTTGAGCTCTAAGTCCCTTTTCATAATCTTAAGCCATTCTGGAAGGTTCTTACCAGACTGAATTTCTTTAAAATTAGTTTAGCTAGATGATTTACAAACTCATTTTTACTACCACTAAGTTGTACACAATCCTTTTTCACAAAAGTGGGCAAGTATGCTAGAGTACAATTTATATCTGGCCAAACTGTAACATTATAAATTCTTTTTCCTTTCTGTTCTTTTCTGTGATTTAACGTGCTTAGCTCCAAAATCTTTGCACTTAGTTGGAATTATTTATTATCCTTACAAAGTCTATTCCATTTCATTAAAAGTATATTGTTGTAGTGTAATATTGGAGCTTGGAAGAACCAAGTTCAAATCCAGCCTCAGCCATAGAAACTCACCGTGTGACTTTTCCCTCAGCTAACCTATTTCACATAAAAATTCAGCAAGACTCCCCTCCTATCATGATCCTTTGGAAGAAATGCAGGATATAAATCTATGTGTGTAAGATACAATAAATGCTGTAAGTATCTGTGGGTAACCCATGCCAATCAACAAAAAACACTTAACCTTAAGTCAAATTTGCCTCAAACCTGATCAGAATTTACTCCATTCGTTTTTTCAAATTGTAGAATTAGGCTCTTGGCTTAGCCCCCTGAGCTAAAATTTTAATGTTACTATTCTACTTGAAGCTTATGAGAGCTGAGGTATAAAACATCTGAAGAACATCTACTTGTGAAAGACAAGAGGCAGACAGAATTTGACAAATGAATGTTAAGAGTGAAATATTTAATGTTTCTCAATAAAAAATGTTTAAAGACTGTTTCCTGACAAAACACACACGCTTATACACATACTGTATGTATGTATATAATTTTATATCATATAGTCTGTCTATGCGCGCGCACACACACACACACCACCAATAGAAATATTTTTTTTTTAGATTTAAAATAAAACAGTACAACAGACCTGGCATTAATTCTACGACATGACCAAGTCAAAATTTTGGAGCTGTATAAGCTGACAGGATTTAAATAGTGCCTATCTGGAGACTGGTGTGGGGAAGCAAAATTGTTTTGGAAGCACATTTCTATTATTTATCTCCATGCTGGGCACTTATATCTGTATAAAAATTTAGATTTCTAAACATTTGAAGTTCTCATTTATGTCACTCCAAAGAAAATGAAATAAGAGTAAGTGCTGCACTTCTGTATCTTCTGATGGTGCAGGAAAGCACAAACAAAGAAGTTCAAAGTATTGTATTGATGAAAAAATATGTACCATATGAGAGTCAACAAGAGTTTCATAATCCAGTTTCAATGTAAGTCTGCTTTTAGTAATGGCTGCATAAATGCTCTTCCTCATCTGCTATTTGATGCACACATTTTCATTTTTAAAGGTCATACTCTGCCTTGATTTTAAATATTAGCAATATTTACCTAGATTAGCAACAAGTTACCCATTCTATTATATTATTTTCAGATAAGAGATTAATAAATACAGAGGGGGGAGGGGGGAGGGAGGGAGAGAGAGAGAGAGAGTCAGAGACAGAGAGAGAGAGAGGGTTCCCAAGGGCAGTACTGGATATAATAAGTAGCAGACATGGAATTAAACCACCACAGTGACTTACAGTACTCCTAATTTGATCCAGGAAACCCTGTTTCTATTTTTAATATAACAATAAGGGTCAGCATGTGATCAGGTCCCTGCTTTAATAATGTGTAAGCACAATAGAAAATAGCTGCTGTTGAGAACAGAACACCTAGGAGAACACGGAAGTCACATAGTAGCAAATCCCATTTTAGTATACACTAAAATTCACAACTAGTTCTTTCATCATAATGGAGCCCCAATAGTTCACAAGATATGATAAATGTGTAAATATTAAATACAATTGATGCTAAATACTTCTGTTCCTCTGTATTCACATTCCTTGGATACAGCAGTAGAAATCAAAAGCATCGAAACTGTACCCAACATTTCATGTATGGCTAGAAGAGCTTGTTTTGAAGATTTAATTGAAATAAGCAATTAATAATTATCAACAGTTATAGCATATTTGACATAAAAGATTCTCAGTGGATATTATAGTGCAACTCAGCAGAAAAATATATCTAGCTTAAAGGCTACAAAAATCTATTTGTTTTATTGCCCCCAAACCAGTAGTGGGATTTAAAATTTTTTACTACCGGTTCTGAGGGTGTGGCTTGGTGGGCGTGGCAGGGGAAGGATACTGTAAAATCTCCAGTCAGAGGTGGTATTTCCCGGTTCTCCAAACTACTTAAAATTTCTGCTACCGGTTCTCCAGAACTGGTCAGAACCTGCTGAATACCGCCTCTGCCCCAAACAAGAAACAAAATTAGGTGCCTTAGCATTTTTAAAAAATATTATTTTTAGTTGTTGGGTGGTGGGGAGAAAAGGTACTGATTGCAAAGAGAAGGGCCTCCACAAACAAATATAAGAAAAGTAATTAAAGCAGGGGGAAATGACATATGTAACATGAAAGTAGATCTCTAACCCTTACCCCCATCTTCAAATAATACATTTACTTGGAAAACTTCAATCTCCTATCAAAATAGTTAAGTTCCCACACAGCCTGAAATTTCATAAAAGGAAGCAGCATTGTTTCTACATAAATTTTAGAGGAAATATCTATTCAAATCTTCAGAATGAATGCTGATGAAAAATATGGAAATGGGACTTTATTTGGACACAGTAAAACAGTGCAAGTGCTACAATATAATGTGGAGTGGGACACTTAGGCTTTTTAATGGCTGTAAGGTTCCCAAGTCATTGTATGTAGGAAAAAAACCTCCCTTGTGGCAAGAATCTGGCGCTCTGAGTCCTTATTTCATGCATATTTCTAAGAAAAGAGATGTCCCAGCTATGTTTTCCTGTGGCTTTATATCAAAGTATCACTGTCCATGACCAACATTTCTTACCAACTGTCTTAAAAATTCTAGCATTGGCAAAGTCAACACATTCCAAATGCGGCCAAAAAAGCATTTTGTATGCAAACAAACACAAGCAATTGCTAATGCTAAGCTTGCCTGAAAACCCAAATATTTTTGCAGAAGCATTTATAGCTTCAGGTGCTGCTCTGTCTTTATCAAGAGAGTCTGGCAGATTATAAAAACAAGGAACAAAATAGCTGCTTTATAAGTCGATGGCACTTTCAGCTTTTGTACAAGCACAGTCCAGAGCAGGGCTGCCAAAATTATCGGAGGCAGTTCCCAGATAAAAAAGTGGTGCCAGTCTCTCTTAAAATCTTGTCAAACCTTCAGTGTGATAGCCAAACTTGGAAACAATTAACCTGAAACAAAAGCTCAGGATTAATTTCGCTGCCTGCATTCTTACAAAATGGCTGACAGTCAGCCATTTTCTCATTTAGATTTATGATAGAAACGGTGCAGCAATTTGATGTTTGGTTCAGGTAATCTTTTCCAATGAAAGCAGCAAGAGCAGCAGCAAAAGT